GCTGTTTTCAGTGTCTTCTGTTACCAGTAACTTCTGCTAACCCGTTGGCACTCTGTTTCTCCCCGAGATACAGCCTGTGTTTTGTACTTCATCCTGCTCAGGCCCACAACACCAGCCCTGTTCTTTTCACCACCTGCCTGTCAGGGCCCAGGTTGCCCTGTGGCAGTGTTCGTGCTGTGGGTTCGTGCTGAGGAAGGCTGGGTACGAGTGAGTAGGGCATTGTTGCTGATCTGTCGGATAGGCCTTTTCAGGATCCCCAGCTCTGACGGCGCTGGGTGCCCTTCAGGGAAAAGGTTGTAGCTGCTTGTGTCAAGAGTTTCCTTGCGCAGCAGTTATAGTGGGTGTTTGCAGTAATGGATCCGTTTTTCTTTTCAGTGCTGCAGAATGGAGAACTATAAGAAGACCAAAATTGTGGAGAAACCTTGTCCTCTTCCTTTCACCGACCTGCCTCCAGATATTATTGAAATGAAGGTGAAGGACGGAAGCAAAATCAGAAATCTGATGGGCTATGCCATCGGCAGGATGGAGCTGGACTCGGTGAGGCAGATTCTTTTCACTGGCTCAGGCAAGGCCGTCAGCAAGACCATCACCTGTGTGGAAATCATGAAACGAAGGCTGAAAGAGCTGCACCAGATCACCAAAGTGCTCTTCAAACAGATCGAAGAGATCTGGGAACCCATTGTGCCTGAGGCGGGCCTCGATGCCTTGACGGTGAAGAGGAACATCCCTGCCATATGCGTCCTGCTCAGCAAGGACGCCCTCGACCCTCAGGAGCCGGGATACCAGGCTCCGGGCTCCTTTGATGCCTTCTGGATCGAGACGCTGAAAGCGGAGTCTCAGGGGCAGATGAAGAGGAGGCAGGGTGGAGGCAGGGGAGCTGGCGGCACCGGGAAGCACCCTCGCTCAGCGGGAGCAGCGCCCGGGGAGTCCTGCGCCAAGTCCTGAGACGCCAGCACTGCGCTTGGGTGCGGTTTGGGGGATTTACGGAAAGAAGCCAGCTGCCGTAGCTGGAAAGCTGCTGCTGAACACGGGGGCTTGTGGAGTTGTTAGGGGAGGGCAGGAGAAGCTGACTGTTTCAAAACGGATGTGACTGTAGCTGTCTGAAACTGTGTTTTGAGAAGTTCCCTTGTCAGAGGCTGCGCTCCTTAGCGTGTGGTTCGGGGAGGACAGGAGTCGCCTGTTCCTGAGCAAGGACCGTTGGCGTCTTGTCGGTGAGCCCCGGCGAGCGGCCGCTCCCGGAGCCGGGTTTCAGCAGCCCGGGCGGCGGGTGGAGG